TCCAGCCTGGGCAACAAGAGCGAAACTCCGTCTAAAAAAAAAAAAAAAAAAAAAAAAAAAAAAAAAAAAAAAAAAAAAAAAAAAAAAGAAAAGAAAAAGGATTAGACTTCAGAGGGCAGAACTAAGTAAGTTTAAGTTAAAGTTAAAGGAAGTGAAATACGGGACAAAATTTTCTTGATGTACAATGCACCAAAGGAGGTGGCTACTGTGTAAGGGAGTAGCAAGCACAGGTTCCTGGAGGTACACAGGCAGTTGCTGAGATGCATAATTACCTTTCTGGGACATTTTCATAGAGATCTTGCCTTGAGAAAGAAATTGAAATGGAAGCTCTCTTCCAGCTTCGAGATCTATTGCAGGTCCTAAAATTGTTCTTTATGTGTATGCCATGAAAATCAATATTAATTATGTGACAAGCTATTTCTATAAGCTGAAGTTTTGTTCTGTGATCTTGGTTCTATGGACTAGTCAGGATAAAAAGGGGAAGGTTTAATCTAGGAGGGGGGAAACATCTTTAATAAATAAGAAAGGTAGGAGAATAAAACATGCATTTATTGAGACCTACTATGTGCAGGATGTTGGACTAGTCTTTTTATCCATATAGTCTCATCTCATTTGGTCCATTTAGTTTTTCACTGATCAGTTTGGAACTTATGGGAAGTGGTTCTTAAAATGATGAATTCTTAAAATAATTGGGGTTTTATTATATATTTTTTGGTGATGAAACACAGGACTGTTCTGATGGCTACATGTGCAAAATACACTTTCAAATTAAGAATGAGCCTGTGATGTCACATCCAGAGACATTTACTCATGGACAGACATGTCTTCCCATGGAGGTAAGTAGTTTAATGTATCATGTTCTTCTTTTCAGTCTCTGTAAAGTATACATTTAAACATTTAATTCTTGTTAAGTAAATATTTTAAAAACTTTAAACTACTTCCCATTGGATTCTGGGCCTATTATAGGGGAAGAAGGAGGTATTTTCCTTTGTAATTCTGAAAGCAAGAATTGTGACTCCAGATTGTAGTGAGCCATCATCCTTTTGGTTTCTGTTGGATCTGAATACCACAGATGCCTTCTATTATCTACTGATTTTTTTTTTCCCAAGTAAAATTCCCTGAAGATAATACAGCCCTAGCTTCAGGCTGCATAATACTTGATTGGAGACCTCTTTGACTGCTCTGCCTATAGTCCCTTTTCCCTTGAAAATATGCTGGATCTGGGTCTTATTCCTTAGGGGACTTTAACCTTGAATTGAAAATCTTGCTGAACCAAATTTTATTATGGTACTAATGATTGAATGGTTTTCTGAGATATTTTCAGTTTTATTTTTATTGAAATGCAAATAACCTTATTGTATTTCTTGTGAAAAAATTGTGTATACCCATTTTAAAAATAAATAATAGAGAAATACATAAAAAGGATTTAAAAATGTCCCATATGTCCTTCAATAAGTTACCACTGTTAACATTTTAGTAAGTATCCTTTCACATATTTCTATCGTATACACACACATATGTACTTGTTTTTTGTTGTTGTTGTTGTTTGCAATGAACAGGTATATCATGGACATCTTTCCATGTCAGTAAATGCAGAATTCCATAGTTCTTTTTAATGACTCCATTGCATTCTATCCTGTGGAAGTACCACAATTATATGGTACTCATATTGAAATAAAATACTTGAATTTTGAAAGAGGATTGGTGATGACTGAATTATTTCAGCACAAAAGAAGAAATCACTAGTGCTTTTATTCTGAGCATCCTGGGAAAATGAAAGAGGTGACTCTTTTTTGTCCAGGAAGAACTCTTTCTCAGAACATGTTAAATCAGGACCATTTGGCAATCAGACATCGGTCCCCTTGTCCATATGTGATGCTAGCCTGAAGGTAACTTTCACCTTTATAATTTGGTTTGGAAGTTATTCTTGAGAGTATTGTGCTTGGTAATAAGCTAAGTACCCCCAGATGGATGCTTGAATCTTGATTACTGCTTCGTGGTTCCAATAACCAACATCAAATCTGAAGCCAAGCATATTAGGAAGCTTTTCAATTCATTATATATTAACTTAAAAAATGTTTTAAAAATTAACATAGAAATGATGATTTAAAAAATCCATTACTAGTTTTTGCCTAACAAGTTGGCAGAGATTTGAAAAGCACTAAAAAGTGGTGTTGACAGTGTGAGGGAACTGACACTTTCTGGTTGATGTTTTAACTTCACAAAGTTTAGAGATGTGCACATACTATGAATAATCTATTCCAATTCTAGGAATTTAACTCATAAAATATAATTTTTTTCAACATTTTTCATTTCCAACATTTTCCAATAAATTTGAAACATATGGAAAAGTTGAAAGAATTTTGCCATGAATATCTATATGCTTACCACCTAAAGTCTATCATTAACATTTTGCTGTGCTTGCTTTATTATATGTTGATCCCTCTATCAGTACATCTTATTTTTTTGATGCAATAATTTTAATAAAAATAAATTACACACAAATACTCAAAATACTTGAATACACAAAGATTTACCTGCAAGTATATTCATCTCAACCTTACTTATAATAGGAAAAATGAAAACAATAGAAATATACAATAATAATGGATTGGTTAATTACGGCACATCCCTAGATGGATGCAGTCATTAAAAGTGATATTCTAGGTGACTTTTTAGTTATACAGGTTAAATGTTCATGTTGGCCGGGTGCGGTGGCTCAACGCCTGTAATCCAGCACTTTGAGAGGCCAAGGCAGGTGGATCACCTGAGCTTAGGAATTTAAGACCAACCTAGGCAACATGGTGAAATCCTGTCTCTACTAAAAATACAGAAATTTAGCCAGGTGTGGTGGCATGCACCTGTGGTCCCAGCTACTCAGGAGGCTGAGACAGGAGAACTGTTTGAGCCTGGGTGGTGGAGGTTGCAGTGAGCTGAGATCGTGCCACTGCACTCCAGCCTGGGTGATGGAGTGAGACCTTGTCTTGAAAAAAAGAAAAAAACAAAAAAAAACAAAAAAAAACAAAGTTCATGTTAAGTGAAAAAAATGGTAGATTATATGATATAAACAATAGAATCCAAGTATGATTAACATTCTTCAAACTATCAGTTGACTATTACAATTTTAAATTATGATTCTTTTTAAAATTTATCTTTTCAAAGAGCGAAACCGAAACTCTTTGCTCTCACTCCCTTGAAATCCCTACAGTTACTTTTGCTTGGTCCAGTGATTTCATTTGGAGTCACTATCCATCCTTGTAAGCTTCCATTACTGCCATAGCTCAGGTAGGCATCCCTCTCTCGTTTTTTCTTCTAGATAAGAGCTGAAGATTTTAAAGTTTAGAACAAGACAACCCAGTACCCCATTTTTGTGTGTCTACCAGCTTCGCCCTCCTGCATAGCAGAAATAGTGATTGAAAAATCACATATACATATATAAATATTTAATATTCACATAGGGCCTAGAAATAATTTCCCCCCTTCCAATCAGATCAGATTTTCTTAGAAATTTTTTTTCTTTTTAGTTACATTTATTGTTGTTCTTTCTCTTCAGGAATTTGCCTTAAAAGCGTATGTCCTTTATCACTCCTTCTTAGTACTCCTCAGACTCATGCTTGTTGTTTTAAAAGCCAGATTGGTTCCTTAGACTGTAAATCCCGTGGAAGTAAGCCGACTCAGTGAGTATGTATTATTTGACTAAACCTTCAGTTTTAATTACCCATAGAACTAGGTCACTTAACAAATGAGATACCTCTGTATTTTGATGTAAACTGGATTATCAAAGTGAGTTACTTAGAATTGATTAAATTATATCTATGTATTATACATAATACATAGATACTGCATATATATGTATTATATATACAATATATGTAGTATAGTATATTACAAAAAGCATGGGTATGTGTGTGTATATAGGTGTATATATATGTGTGTGTGTGTATATATGTGTGTGTGTATATATACACATACATATGCTTTTTGTATACATATATACACATATATGTATATACATATATGTATATATACACACATATATATACTGTTTGTATACACATATATACACACACATACATAAATATATATATACACACACATCCCATACTTTTTGTAATATGCCATACTACCTATATTGTATATATAATACATACGTACATACACACACACACACACACACACACACCCCTAAAATAACCCTAGGGATTTCAAGGGAGTGAGAGAAAAAAGTTATGGGTTTCACTCTTTGAAGAGATAAATTTTAAAAAGTATTATAATTTAAAATTGTAATAGTCAATGGATAGTTTGAAGAATATTAATCATACTTGGATTCTATTGTTTATACAACATAATCTACATATATACACATATATATATGTATATGTATATATGTGTGTATACATATATATACATATATGTGGAGACGTGGGTTTTGCTCTGTTGCCCAGGCTTGTCTCAAAGTCCTGGCTTCAAGTGATCCTCACTCCTCAGCTTCCTGTAGTGCTGAGATTACAGTCATGAGCCACTGTGCCCAGCCTGAATTCTAAAAGAGTTTAGTTTCTAGTAGAATAACATTTTTTTTTCCAACAATCAATTTACATAGAAAAATCAACAATGTTTAAAAAGAGATGTTTGCAGGGAGTTTTTAGTAGTTTGTGTTTCTGAGTTGTCACGGGAATTGAATCGGATGATAAACCCTTCATCCTCCAGTCAACTCCAGTGTTTTATTTTTAATTATTTGGCAACTCATAGTAAATTTAGTCTGCCTAATTTACTCAGATTATAACAACAGCACAAGTACAAGAAAGAGTGGTAGATTTGGAGATAGAAATTGTTTTGTAGTTCTCTTAGCCTCTTACTAGTAAGGTAACCTTGAATAAACTTCAGTTTTCTCATTCAAATTGTGGGCCCTTCTTATTCTTGTTTTGGTTGGTTTAAGAAGCATGCAGTGCTATTACTAATACTAATAATGTCACACATACAATTATCTTTTTCTGGTTATCTCATAATTATGCAAGAAGACGTAGGATGTGAATGGAGAAACATGAAGGAACAGGAAGAGAGCAGAGACTGTAACACATCCTTTAAATGTTGGGAATAATGAGTAGCCTCCAAGTTGGAAACTAACCCTTATTTAGCCACCACCACCAGTTATTCCAGAGAGTGGAACGGAGACAATTGAGAGTGACTCTCACTAAAAATCAGTGGTAGACTAATTAGAGCATTTAAAACATTTCATTTGAACTACGTATATAACACCTCACTTTCTAGATCAACATTGGACAGAAATGTATTTTCTTCTCAAGTTCTCTTTTTCTTCAACATATATTTATAACTTTTATTTAGTCAGTAGTATGATTAGAGGTATGATGATTTGAATTATTTTAGTTTTTCATTTAAAAATACGTCAGATGGCTAGGTATAGTGGCTCACACCTGTGGTACCACCGCTTCTTTTGGTCAAAAGAGGAGGATCGCTTGAGTCCAGGAGTTTGAGATCAGCTTGCACAACAAAGTAAGACCCCATCTCTATAAAACTAGAAAAATTAGGTGGGCATGGTGGCATGCACCTGTAATCCTAGCTACTCTGGAGGCTGGGACAGACTTATTGCATAAGTCTGGGTATTTGAGGTTACAATCAGCTATGATCACACTACTGCACTCTATCTAGTATGGGAAACAGAACAGGACTCTGTCTCAAAAAAACAAACAAACAAAACCCCCAAAAAACCCCAAATATCTCAGAATTAATGTTTTATCTTAATAGATAGCACATTTGTGATATCAGTAGAAAATACTGTGACAATTTAAGTGGGATGTAATTAGATAAGGGACAGTCA